TTGGAAATTTTAATATTGATAATTTATATTTGATAATTATTAATAATTTTCATAATTATCGGTAATTTACATTGGTTTTTGGCATTTATTGAGAAATTTTAATTTAGTGGTTTCCATAAACGAATTTTCATGTTTTGGTAATTTAATTTAGTGAAAGTTAAAAAACTAATTTACTAATTTTTTATATTTTAAGTAATTAATTATTCAGAAATTAAAATTTCTTTTTAAAAATCAATTTATTAATATCAATAAATTCTAAAGTTTTTATTCATGTCAATCAGAAATTTATTCATAAATTTTTGAAAAGTAATTTATTCATATCAATATTTGTACTAAGGATTTTTAGGATATTCAAGTTTTTCTTTCTATTTTTTATTTTTCTATTGTGCAAATAACAATAAATAGAGATTTTTTATTAATTTAGTTTTAAACATCCCATGCCAAAGTGTCAATTGGTTGGTAAGGTATAGACCTGTTCATGGGTCGGGCTTAAAGCCTGACTAACATTGTGTCGGGCTTGGGCTCTAGGCTCTGTTGTGTAGCCTCATGGAGCAACAAATTTTAAGCCTCCCCTATACTTTGACCCCACAAATAAGAAAAAAATGGCATCTTTCACATTATCAATTACCTGTGCATCTCACGGGCCCTACTAGTAATCCAACACAGACACCAAAAAATGGTACATATAGAATCATGTATGAGCAATTTCCTTGATGTTTTTGATCAACACTACGATAAGTCCTAGTCGCCTCTTCGGCATAGGCAGACCAGTTCTTACGCCTGAGGCGTAGACAGTTCGGGTACAAACCCTACTATGTCTAACCCACCTTGGCATATAACAACAGGTTGATCCCATTGGAAGTCAGGCCCAATGGCTCAGCACTAAGGGATAGCCGACACCTAAGCGAGTAGCCCGTATGCAAACAGGTTGGATATATACCCTACAGTGTCCACCCACCCCGGCGTACAACAATGCGAAATTATCCCTACTCGTAGTCCAGCTCGTTAGCTTAACAGTTTGGGGTAACCAACACCTAGGAAAAAAAATCTACTCCTACTTGGGGTCGGCGCAAAATGATGCAAAGTTATCCCTATTAGTAGCCCAGCTCATTAGCTCGACAGGTCGGGGTAACCAACACTTGGGAAAAAATCTACTCCTACTTGGGGTCTGCGCATAATGATGCGAAGTTATCCCTATTAGTAGTCCAAGTCGTTATTTCGACAGTTCGGGGTAACCAACACTTAGAAAAATCTACTCCTATTTTTGGTTTAGTTCGCTAGTTTGGGAGTTATTTACACTTGGAAAATTTTTACACAAGGATTGCCAAAATACTTGTATTTCATTAATGTGACGTTTTGAGTACAAAAAAAAAGAGAAGAAGAAGAAACTATCACTATGAACCGAGCTCAGAGGCCCGGGGTACATCATAAAAAGGTCAAAGGAAAGAGGCAAGGATTATGCATCCGAACTAGGGGGCAGGTCGGTCTCCATACGATCCTCCTCCGCGTCCTCTCGACCTTACGAGCCCGTCTCGGGGACTTCATCATCGCTTTCCTCCTCGGAGGAGCCGGGTTCTTCGTTGGCCGCCTTTGCCATCTCAGGAGTGAGGTCGGACATGGACACAACTCCGAGGTCCAGTTCGAGAAACTTCTGCCACATCAGCCATTTGCATAGCTTGAAGCTAGACCGGTAAGAGCTCGATCCATACTCAACTTGGAGATTGTGGAACTCCGGAGACTCCTTGAAGCCTTCAATGGCACACCCTCTCTCCTCAGCTTGCACCTCTTGAATGGCGGTCTCGAAGATCACGATGCGTTCTTTTATCATCGCGTCGAGTTTCTTGTTCTCGCGTTTGGAGCTTCTCCTTCTCCTCAGTCAGCGCCAGGGTCAGTTCCTGTTGGTTCCGAGCTCCTTTCTTAGCCCGAAGAACCTCACCCTGAGCTAAGTCCAGCTCGCGATAAAGTTTCCGAGCATTCTCCTCGTCTTCTTGAGCTCGCTTTAGGTGGTCCTCGGACTGGTAGACCAACAAGTGAATGGCGGAGTTTACCTGGCAAAAGGAAAGCAGAGGTAAGTACCTTTAAAAAGCGAACAAGGAAATAAAGTATAAAGGTAAAGTACTCACCACCATACAATAACAGGCAGCCCGACCTCCGAGCTGGCTTGTGGGCATGTCAGCCCACTCCGTGACTTCAGAGGGAAATACGGCATCCTTACTTCTGAGGAACCTGAGCCGAGGAGTCATTATGCTCTCCTTTGAAAGCTGAGGCTCGGGCGTGGAAGTTCTCTCCGGTTTGCGAGGCGGAGCTCCTTCATCCTGGTCTTCGTCCAGGTCCACAATAGGAGGTTGGGGACAGACCTCCTCCTCCGGAAGCTCAGCAGAGATCGACTCCGGCGCAACGACGTCGGGAAGGACGGGAGCAGAAGGACTGACCTCCCATCGAGACTTCTTTGAGGCCTTCCTCTTTTTTCCCCTCTGAAAGCTCCTCAGAAGGTTCTCTGCATCGACCTCCGACAAGGCTACTGCAAGAGAAAAAGAAAAGGTTAGTTGCGAACTAAAGAAAATCCAAAATAAAAAAAGAATATGAGCACGGAGGTGGAGGCCTACCAGGAGGGCTCAGCCCAACTCGCACAAGCTTCTCATCGGCCAAGAAATCTCTCATCTCCAAGCCGAGGTCCCTCTAGGAGTTAACGACCGCTCTGGTCATCGCTTCTAGCCTCACCCCGGGGTCTTTAATGGCCACTCGCCAGTGAGTTGGGAAGGTCCATCCCCCAGGGTTCCAGACAAAAAAGTATCTCCTCTTCCAAGCCAGTATTTTGTTCGGACTACCGAACAGGATTTTGAACCCGGGGCGAGGAGAGATGTAGTAACTCTTTCGGATGTCCCCGCGCAGGCAGGCGGAGTTCTTTTTGATTTTACAGATCGAGCTAAAAATGTCTAAGGACAGAGGTCGATTATACTCGTGGAATAGGGAGATTGTACCTACTATAGTTCAGATGGAGTTCGGGTGTAATTAGTCGATGGTGTTGTCAAAGAACTTAAATTATTTTTATAATAAATATGTGGAGCGGGAAGCGCAGCCCAGCTACAATCTGCTTTCGAAAACCGCGAGCTCATGGTGACCATGAACCCAAGGGAACCGACCCAAAGGAATACTGAAAACTAGGTTATCAGGAAGACGATAACGAGCTACCAAGGACAGCAGTCTGTTCAAAGTCATAGTTGAAGGCCCGAAGTCATCTGGATCCCGACCCCGAGAAGAAGATGGGACCCCCTCTCTGGAGGTCGGTCCCTCCTCCCGAGCTACAGGCTTCTCAGGCCAAGATGGCCCAACTTCGGGTAAAGAGGTTTCTCCTAAGGGGCGAGGGGGGGAAATACCTAGCGAGGAGCTGACCTCGCCAGCGGGGAGTGAGGACTGCACCTCTGCACCCTCAAGCCCACTAGAGTCACTAAGAAGCCTATCTATGCTAGCACTAGACATATTGAAACAGGAACAGGAAAGGAGAACAAACTAAGGAAGAAAAGACAAACTCACAAAAAAAAATGACAATGACCTTGGAACACAAGGGAAGAAGTGGCGAGCTGAAGGACTCCGACGCGACCTCGAGAGAGCTCAATCACAAGATTTATGGTGAAGAAGAGGGGCCCCTCGGCCCCCTATTTATAGCTCACTATGTGGTGATCAATGGCTGAGACCTGCTCGATCCAACGGCTCTCATGAAAATTGGTTGCACGACACCCGAGGACGAAATCGGTTGAGTGCGCTCTTTGACATCTGCGGAGTCTATAAACAGCGTGACATCCATGCATACCCGGGACGCGATCTGGGTCATTTCGTGGTTGAGCTAGACGGTTGAACAGGCCCGACCAGCGGTTCGCTCTTCAGATTGTTATGCACTTGGCTTTACCATCACATTATATCCTTTTTGCCTGCTTATTTGTTGGTTATTCTGAGTTCTGTTGTGCGAATCATTGCCTTATTCTCCGAAAATCCCTTCGGTTGTTTATCTCACACTTTGGTATTCTGCTTCTTGAGTCCATAATTTAATTAAATATTTATTAGTTAGAGTATCTGAATCTCAATTTCATTGATGATATTCAAATCGGTTTCCATTTAGTCATGTCAATTTCTATGCTTTGACCCACGTCAAAAAATCCCGTAGGAGTCATGTCATGCTTTTATGCTTTGACCCGCGTCAAAAATTTTGTCGGCCATATTAGCCTCTATGCTTTGACCAATGTCAGAAAATTCCGCTGGTTATGTCTGTCTCTATGCTTTGACCCGCGTAAGAAAATCCCATTGGTCATGTTAGCCTCTATGTTTTGACTTGCGTTAGAAAATTTCGTTGTTCTAGCACGACCTGATTTACACCTCTACTTGAACCCACCCAATACTCGGGACAGGGTGGAGAAATTCGATGATTCCCTATCCTTAATTCGAAAATTCCCCATCCTTGATGAGGAGTGGGGTGGTTTGCCCTTGAACTTACTTGGCATTGAGGAGTGATTGCCTTGCTTTGAACCTGGTTGACACTAGGGATGAGGTGGGGATGAGGTAAAGTGTCTTGACTATGGGGCAGGAATGGGGTAACCCGCCTTCAACCCACCCTCTTGTCATCCCTATAATTAACATTTATTTAAAATTAATCAAATTTTCATTTAAAAATAATAAAAATAACAAATATTAAAATTACTACAAATTATTAATAAAACCAAATTTATTAAAGAATATTTGTTCATATTAAGTTAATAATAATTATTTTCTATAAATTAATATTAAATGAAAAATACAATTACTAAAATTTTAGATATTAACAATTACTAAAATTTCCACGCGTCCCCGCTAGTTTTCATAATATCGGAAAGGTGATTGCAATTACCACAGGTGGATTGAGGTTTGAGAAACTTGAGAGTAGATTTCAGCAATTTACCCTTTATTTATTAACGTTAATATCTGATTACATCTGATTGCATCAAATCCGTGCCTTCATAGCCCATTCGGTCCACCATCGGCCATCTCTACAACTAAAGTCTACTACCTTTGTTCGAGTGCGGGACTCCACCGGGTGAAGCGGTTTCGTTGATTTTCGTCACTGGAAATAAGAACCATTCTCCATACAAAACGCGTAAAATGCAATTCGATTTCGCTGGTCACCAACAATTTGTTTCAGTCGATCCACTCTTCTAATTAAGCTCTCCAGGTTCCTTCAATCGTCCGTCTTCAACTTCATTCCTTGAATTTTCGATACAGAGAAAGCTATATATTTTTGCTCAAAGTGATAAGCGAAATCGTCTCTAATTTATTTATTTTATTTTTTCAGGTATACAATAGATCTCCATATTTGCCAAAATGATGGTCGAAGATCTAGGAATCGAAGCTAAAGAAGCAGCAGTTCGTGAGGTTGCAAAGCTGTTGCCGCTTCCCGAACTTTTGTCTTCCATTTCTTCGATCAAGGCAGATTATGTTAGTCGCCAACAGGTATCATCATGAACATTTCCTTTCTTGAGCTTAAGTACGACCTGTTGGAGTGTAAACTTAGATTTAAAGTTAATTAAGACCATTCAGTTACTAGGTTTTGGATACGGTTCTTATGAATTGACTTGGCCGGTTACGATGTATATGTTATTGTAAGAAATAATCAGATGGATATGAAAACTAGATATAAGAATGTAGAGTGCGGTATAACAATGAAATATGATGATGTGATGCAAGAACTGTCACCTGGGGGGGGGGGTTGGATTAAGTGAGCAACTAAACCTAAAGCCCGAGCGACTAGAAGTGTGGATGTTGGAGTAGTTTGATAGGAGCTACTTTGTCCAATTTGTTGTGTATTTTATGTTTGATTTTAAGATGCTTGTTAGTGTGAGTAGAAAATTGGAAAAGTTGATGAGGGACTTTTTGTGGAAGCTAGGGGAGGAGAAAAAGAACCCTAGAGTTAGTTGGGAAATGGTGAGTCGGAGCAAAAAGTTTGGTGGGTTAGGTCTAGGCAACTTACTTAAAAAGGAATGTGGCTTTGCTGGGAAATGGCTTTGGAGATTACTTGTGGGACAAGCTTTGGGCTGAGATAGTCATTGGTATTCATGGGCTTATAGCTAACGGTTGGGATCTGGAATACTATCCGGGGCTACCAGAGCCTCTCCTTAGAGGGGCATTAATGTTGTCTTCCCATCTTTCCTGCCCTTTGTTAGATACGACCTTTGTTTTGGTAACCTTATAAAATATTGGGAGCAAGTTTGGGTGGGTGATCTCTCTTTGAAAGATAAGTTCCCCTCTGTCTTTGCCCTATAAGGATATAAGATAAACTTGTCTCCTCTTTCCTGGTTCCTTCAAGCTCAAGAACTGGCTTAGATTGGGATTTGTGTTTAAGGAGAGGTGTGAGGGATTCAAAACTTAAGGAGGTTCTGGATTTACTTAACATCCTTGATGGGGTATACTTGGAATCATTGAAACCTGGTAGTCATATTTGGAACCTATCTTCCTCTGGTTTCTTTTCCTATGCTTCTTTTTTTAAGGCCATTATTCAACTTGTTGATTCTTTGGGAATTCCGTTTCCGGTGGATGAGGTCTGGGGTAATCCTATCTCTTCAAGAATTGGGAACTTTTGTTCGGAAGTCATCTTGGAAGCAATTAATTGGAAGTGCAAGGGGACTCCCAAGTGGTCATTTCCTGGACAAGATGCAATGGTTAAGTTCCTTGGACTATGGGCACATCTTTAGGGAAATTGATTAATTGAAAGCCCATCAAGGGAGTTAAATGTTGCTTTTAAGTGGGCAACGGACTGCAAATGGGATGGCCAATGGTCTAGCTAAACAAGGGGTTAATAGGCAACTAGTGTTTTGGGCAAAAGTGTAACTCATTTTGTATTTTGGGATGATCGAACCTTCCCAAATTATTGTACTCATTTAAATTAAGTATTTAATAAAATCGTCTTTGCTGATATATCTTCTAGCGATTTCTTGCAACATCAACAAATCTACTTTATACCATCTCATTACATTTCTAACCACCTTTCTCTTCTAGGGTCGTTTAGGCCCCCTTGTGTTCCACGAGCAAATTCTCATTTTTTTTTCTTTTTGTTTCCTTTTTTCCTTTCCTTTTCTTTTCCTTTTTATTTTTTAATGATTCTCACTATTTTCTTCTAAATCCTTAAACACCTTCCTTGAAAATTCTTCTCCTCCTAGGAAAAACAATCTCAATCTTTTGCTCACCTCCACCTCCTTGTTCACCATTGTTTCCAAATTGACAGAGCTCTCCACTCCATGTGTTTCATCCAGCATCACTTCGCCCTCCTGGTTATCTTCCTCTTCATCTTCAAATTCACTCACTTTGTTTTCATTTAGCAGTTTTGTTCCATATTTCTTTTTCTATTAAACACTTTCCATGTCACTGCTAGTTCAACGAAGATATAAAAAGGAAATAAAACTGGTCCATAACTAAAGTCCACTAACTAACAATAACACATTATTAACAGCACAAATAAAATAAAAAGATTAAGGCTCACTCAGCCTATCATCTCTACACATCATAATCTTAACGTTATCTGATGCTACACTTGTGCTATAATGGCAGGCCAATGATGCACAACTCAGCACAATGGTTGCAGAGCAGGTATATCCTTGTATTCCAGATAATTGTTAATATCATGTAATCTTAATTTCACTATTTTTTCAGAGAAGTTCTTTAATGTTTCACATTAAGTTCTTTGATTATAAATCGTAACCACTTGTTGTATTTGTTCCCTAATTAATGAAAAGACTTCTTCTTTGTTGCTGATATATATATTTTTTTTGAGAACAGGTAAATAAAAAAACTTTAATGTTCTGATTTATTGTTTTTCAGCTGTTTTAGCCTTGATGTTAGTGGCACATGATTGGATGTGGAGTTAACACTAAAAGTTGAAGTATCCAACAACATCGTATCAGATATGAAATTAACACTAGAAGTTGAAGTATCCAACATACTGATAAAAAAGCATCTAACATGATACAACACCCTTGTACAGGTATCCATGTATCATAGGTTTAGAATACTTTTGAAGGAGTGGGCATGTATGTGAACCCCTTTAGAACCATCACTTCTCATACACTTTCAAATTCAAACTTGTCTTCTACTATCTCCCTCTCACCCCACCTTAGTAATTTATTTCCTCTCATATCACTATCTGCTTCCATAACCACAGTTTAAAATGTCGGTATTGGTGGAAATTCTGGTCATCCAAATAAATGAAACATGTTGAAAATATTGGAAATATCACATGGAAATGTTGTAAAAATTATAGACATGGTGGAAACATTGTAATATATGCAAAAGTATAGAATGATATTTTATGAAGTTATAAAAGATGTATGGACACACCTTTTTAAATTATGATCTTGTTCCAAATCGTTAAATAAAGCTAAAAAACTTAGGTTATAGACAAAATAATATGTTGTGAAGTTATCCTGTAAACCTTAAGATTCAAAACTATATGACAGAATGAGTTGAAGCAAAATTTAAACTCATAGAAAGCAAATGATGCAAATAAATCAACCAAATAATCTATTATACAAACGAAAACTAATATTTAACTTCATGTTTGAAATGAATATCGAGCTGGCTCAAAGTGGTAATCATGTACATTAGGCGGGCAATAAAATTGCTACTCCACATATCTACAATATTGACATCAACTTATGTTATAATACTATCTCTTGTACTCCACATAATGCTGGTAGTGTTCATCGGAGAATATGTCGATTCCAGTAATCATGTCACTAGCCATGAAAATGGAAATATGTCGTGGAAAAGTTGGGAAATTTATGGACATTTTAAACTATGTTCGTAAAGACCTATTTATTTATTTATTTTTGAGAAAGTTAAGGTAAAATTTTATTGATGAAAAGGAGATAATGATACAACAAGCCACTTGTATGAGCTTCAAACTAAGGAGCCCCTAGACAGGCAACATCCATCAGAACAGAACAACATCAAATGAATATATGGACTGCAACAGGGAATTCATTAGATACAGATACCCATGAGCCAATTTTGCTTACAGCCATGTTGATGAGATCCTCAAAATAGTCCTCAATATTGCTTCTGGTACCAGATCCCAGATTAGCTTGCCCTTGAAACGAAAGCTTTGAATCGTCCAAGCCAATAGCATGTCCAGAACAGATCCAGACATCGACTGGCTAAGGTGAGCAGCTTTGAAGAAATGAATCAATATCTGCCCAGAAACTTTACAATGCAAGAAACGGTGGTTGCTTGATTCCAAATCCTGGTCACACATAGAGCAGTTCTGATCCTGAATCAAAACACCTCTTCAACCAAAGTATCCCTCGGAAGAGACTTTCCTAAAGCTGCAGATCAGACCAAAAGGGCAATTTTGGAGGGCACCGAGGATATCCAAATCAGATTACTGGGAAAAGGAGAGCTAGCAGGGTTTCTCAGAAATCTGCTACAAGTTTGAACAGTGAAGCAACCTGTATTCTCCCCCTTCCATCTTCACTCGTCCACCTGGATGACTCTTAATTGCTGGTTCTCCAATAATTGCTTCAATCTGATAATACTCTCTCTGCCTCCCAGTCCTGTAAATTCCTTAGAAATCTAGGGGTCTAAATCACTCAATCACCTTGGACAAAATGATTCAAATACCAAAGCATCCTTATTTTCATCAAACAAGTAAAGGTGTGGGGAATAATAGCTCATGAAGAGACCTATCCCCACACCATCTGTTGTTCCAGAAACTAGTCTGTATCCTCTTCTCACCTTAAAGCACACCCCTATGAAAGTTGAATAAGTTTTCAGAATGCTCTTCCAAAGTGACTGGCCTTTTCTAAAAGGCTGGTATGTGGAGGGATTTCTAGCAATGGCAAGTTGGTGTTCTGCATGCTTCCTGCTGCTGCCTTTTGGACTATCTGGACAGAGAGGAATTGCAGAATTTTTGATGGCAAACCCTTTCAAATAGATGAAATGATTCGAAATATGATAGCAAAAGTTTTTCCTTGGGCTCATGCTGCTAATCTATCAACTGAAGCCCTCTTTTTCTAATTATCACAATATGTGAAATACTGTGTGTTTTCTCTGTTTGTACAGTTACTGACCTTACCTACTGTAATGGGGCTTACCCTTTAACTAAGAAAGGGATCCTTGCAGGGCAGGGGGAAAATCATCCCCATCTCCACACCATTCGGGGTGGATCTCCATGGGGATCGGGGAAATGGGGAAACATTGCTCCGTACATTTGGAGCTTATTGGAATAGTTTAGTTTATTTTTCTATTTACTATGTTAAGATAGTTCAGTTTTATATTGTTTATACACTGTAAGTACCATAGGGGCATAAGGGTCTTTTCCCTTATTTTAAGTGATGCCCTATAAATAATAAAATATTCTGGCACCGCTAGAATAGATACTCTCTCCAAAAACTCTCTCTTCTCTTCTCCCATCTCTCTTCTCTCTCTCTTCGTCTTCCTATTTCTTCTATTCTTTCTCTCTTAATATGGTATCAGAGTGGTTGTACTGGGTTTGAGAGCAGATTGAACAAGTTTTTTCTTCTCCATCTTACTATCTTCTCCAGACTGAAGTAAGAAAAGACAACCTACAACTGATACAATTTATTTTTATTCCTTCTCCTTTTCTCTTGGTCGTGTACCAAGAAAACAACCAATGAATCAAGGCTGCTGAATGCTGTACCTGAAAATAGAACACCTGTAGGTCATGGATGACCTGTTTTTCAACCTTTTTGGTGTGATGACACAGTTTTATAGCCCCTCCTGGTAGTCGGTGTGTTTGGGTGATTTGGAAGTTTGACGGATTGTGATTATTAAGGCAGTACAGCACTGAAATCAACTTAAAATTTTTTCTTTTTGGAAAATTAAAGCTTCTCTGTATTCAGATTGTGTCCAGATTGCAGTGTTTGCATGTGGGCTGCATCTTTGGTGTGTTTCTAGGACTGTTTTTGGTGTCAGGAGGGATCTTAAGGTGTGTGTTGAGGCTGAATAGTGATCTGAACCATGTCTTCTGAGAATTCCACAACTTTTGGGGTTTTCGGAAGTCAAACCAAAATGGGTGGGGGGCTGGATATGAGTTTCTCCATGGCTGTAATTCCCTTTGATGGACTAAATTACCTTGAATGGTCCAGGGGAATTAAATTCTATATTACTGCTAGGGGGAAGATAGGGTATATTAATGGTAAAGTTAAGGAACCAAAGGCTGAAAGTACTGAACATGACAGGTGGAACCAAGAGAATAGTATGGTGATGTCGTGGCTCTTAGTTTCCATGTTAGCACAAGGAAAAATTTATGTGGGCTGAAACAACTTGTGAAATATGGGAAGGTTTACAAGTCACTTGTCTCCCAATAGCGAGTGTTCGCTTTTCTTTTGGGGCTGAACCCGATGTATGAGTTTATCTGGGTACAAATCTTGGGTAGTAAAGACTTACCTTCAATCTAGGAAGTCTATGCCTTAGTTCAGTCCGAAGAGAGTAGAAGAAGTGTGATGAATTGTGCAGAGGGGGAGCCAGTTGCATTGGCAGTCTAAGGAGGTACAAGTACAAATGGTGGGGGCTCTTTTAAGAAGGGTGATTTGCAGAAGAGGGTGGATATAAGTACATCATTACTTTAATTGATAACTACTCTAGATATACTTGGATTTATCCTATGCGATCTAGAGATGAAGTGCCAAAGATTGTGAAAGATTTTCAATGCTTGATTTTTATTCAATTCCAAATTGGGATTCATATTTTCCAATCGGATAACACAAAGGAGCATTTTCACAGTGATCTCACGGAGTTCTTTGCTTCTTGTGGTTCTCTTCATCGGAGCTCTTGTGCTAAGACACCTCAACAAAACGGTGTTGCCGAGAGAAAAAATCATCATCTTCTTGAAGTTGTTCGTGGATTATTACTCCATATGCATGTTCCGAAATGCTTCTGGATGGATGTTGTTATATGTGTTGCATATATCATCAATCTATGCCGTCTTGATTGCTAGAGTATAAGGCCCCACATCAACTGTTGTTTCCTAAGGCACCTTTGTCCTCCATTCCAATGTGTGTCTTTGGATGTTGTTGCTTTGTTCATGACTTGTCCCCTAGTCGTGGTAAGCTTGAACCTCGTGCTATCCCTTGTGTTTTTCTCGGTTATCTTTTGTCTCAAAAGGGCTATTGATGTTATGATCTTGCTTCACGTAAGTACTATGTCTCCATGGATGTGTCATTCTTTAAAACTCAACCTTTTTTTCTGGTTTCTCCTCAGGGGGAGAGTAGGGTTTAGGACAAACCCAAGCCTAAGTTTTATTACCTCCTCTCCAGAGGTAGATCCTCATAATCCAAGTACACTTGTTCCCATTGATATGCCTGATCCCCTTGATATTGATCCTCCTGTTATTGATGATCTTGATGTTCTTATTGCTAAAAGAAAATGGTGTTAGATCTTGTACTACTATTCATCCTATCTTTCACTTTGTGTCTTATGATCATATCTCACCTTTATATCGTGCGTACATTTCCTCCATTGACAACATTTCTATTCCTAAGAATGTGGTAGAAGCTTTATCCAAACCTAAATGGATAGATGCAATGAAGGAAGAAACGAATGTCTTGCACAAAATGACACTTGGGAGTTGGTGGATCTTCCTAAAGGAAAAGAACCAGTGGGGTGCAAGTGAGTGTTCATTAGCATAAGACTGATGGTACAATATAAAGGTACAAAGCCAGATTGATGGCAAAGGGGTTTACTCAGGTGTATGGAGTAGACTATGCAGAGACCTTTGCCCCAGTAGCCATGATGAATTCTATTAGAATTCTTCTCTCATTGCAGCTAATCTTGACTGGGAACTTCATCAATTGGATATTAAAAATGCATTCTTGAATGGTGACCTAGAGAAATGTTGCACATGACTCAACCTCCAGGTTTTTGTGCCAAAGGTAGTGAGTAAAAGGTGTACAGGTTAAAAAAATCATTATATGGGTTGAAATAGTCACCTCGGGCCTGGTTTAGTAAGTTTCACTTAGCTGTATAACAAATGGGTTTCAAACAATGTCAGTCAGATCATACTCTGTTTGTAAAGAAACGCGAAGGAAAAATTGTGGCTCTAATTGTTTATGTTGATGACATAGTGGTCACGGGAGATTGGAAGATTGAAATTCTTAGCCACTCAGTTCAAAGTAAAAGATCTAGGCCTCTTATGCTATTTCCTTGGGATTGAAGTTGCCCGCTCTCAAAGAGCATATTTATTTCTCAAAGGAAATATGTTCTAGATCTATTAGAGGACATAGGCAAGTTAAGAGCGAAGCCAATTGATTCACCCATTGAACATAATCATCAACTGGGTGACAATCAGGGGGATGTTCTGAAAGTTGTGAAGTTCTGAAGACTTGTAGGGAGACTCTTAAATTTGTCTATGACCAGACCTGGTATTGCCTATGTAGTGGGTGTCCTTAGTCAGTTCATGCATAATCCTAAGACTTGCCACTTTGAAGTTGTAGAAAGGATCCTTAGATACCTCAAGTAGTTCCCAGGGCTGGTTTGTTATTCAAAAAACAGGGGCATTTGAAAATTGAAGTGTATACAAATGCTGATTGGGCAGGGGCAGTCGATGACAGAAAGTCTACCGATGGGTATTGTACCTTTGTGGGAGGAAACTTAGTCACTTGGAGAAGTAAGAAACAAAGTGTGGTGGCTAGGTCTAGTGTTGAAGTAGAATACAAAGCTATGTCTCATGGAGTTGCTGAAATCATGTGGATAAAGAACCTATTAGGCGAAATGGGTTTTGTAGTTAATAGCCCTATGTCACTCTATTGTGACAATAAAGTTGCTATCAACATTGCAATCAACTCAGTCCTCCACGATAGGACAAAACATATTGAAGTGGACAAACTTGTCAGTTCAGAAGAACAATTTGCAGACATTTTCACCAAGGGCCTTCACCACATACAACACAATGAGCTGTGTGACAAGTTGGGCATGATTGACATCTATGTCCCAACTTGAGGGGGAGTGTTGGAATAGTTTAGTTTATTATTCTGTTTACTATGTTAAAATAGTTCAGTTTTATATTCAATTTTATATTGTTTATACACTGTAAGTACCACAAGGGCATAAGGGTCTTTTCCCTTATTTTAAGTGACGCCCTATAAATAATAAAATATTCTAGCGCTGCCATAACAGATACTCTCTCCAAAAACTCTCTCTCTCCTCTCTTCATCTTCCAATTTCTTCTATTCTTTTTCTGTTAATGGAGCTTTTCAAATGTAATGCTCCAACTTGTGTAAGGTCTTCATATATTTATTAATGTGTGAAGGTCTTCACTGCTGGTATGACGTTGGATATGAAGTTTACACAAAATTGAAATATCCAAAATGATATGGCACCATTATACATGTATCTGGGTAGAATATATTAAACCAACGTTTCCTCTTCCCTGCAGGTTGAACAAGCACATGCTGGGCTAGAAGCCCTTTCCCTGTCCCAGAAGACAATAACCCAGCTACGCAACAATTTTATTTCTATTGAAAAGTGAGTTCTGAATTGTTTGTTTAGATTTTACAAAGAACTTGTGAGCAAATTGCCTTTATTATCTTTCACAAAGGATCTTTCATGCAGCATTGACATTATCATCTTCTAGCTATTTATTTTTGTGTGTTTATTTCTATTGTGTTCATCAGGCTGTGCCAAGAATGCCAAACACTAATTGAAAACCATGATCAGATAAAGCTCCTTAGCAATGCAAGGAACAACTTAAACACAACACTAAAGGTTTGCCTATTGTCCAATCTTGCTGCTTAGGTTTGATTTCTTATGCTTGATGGACAGTGATACATAGTTTCCAGAAAGAAACATGTATTAACAAAATTAATTATTAGTATGATTTTGTTTTTTCCTCTTCTCATCGGTAAAATGAAAAATAGTATACCTACATAGTTTCCAGAAAGAAACATGTATTAACAAAATTAATTATTAGTATGATTTTGTTTTTTCCTCTTCTGATCGGTAAAATGAAAAATAGTATACCTACTCTTTTGGCTTTAACAGATTGGTTATAAATATGAGTCTTGATGTTGTAAAAACTTGTATAATTGCCAATGTTTCACCAGCTGTTCATTGTCTTGAGGAGACTTTGAGCACGCTGGACTATGAACACAGGGCAAAGCACATAGAAAACAAGCCTGAGGTTAACCAAAAAATGATGAAGTCAACTCTTATCAAGGATCTTTATGGTGAAATTGATAGATTTAAAGCAGTGGATTGGGAGATGGAGGCAGGTAAGTTTGTGAAGCATGATTCTTGGAAAAGGATTGTGAAGATTGAAGCAAAGCAGTTCCTTCTCGAGAGCATCACGGTGAAAAGGAAACCGGTACTCAAGATTAGGGAGATGAAAAGGGCAATGGTGCTTCTGGTTGGGGGAAGAGGTTATTGGATGGTTCAAGGCCTTCGAAAAGAAAGCTACTCAGGTGAGTTGGAAGCAGGAGTGCAAGGGGGTACTAGAAGAAGGTGAAAGAAAGTATGTTGCAGAGAGAATACAGAATGAAAAGGGAAGATTCCTGGTGCTTGTGGATTTTTTTTTGGAGCTGGGGAAAAACAAATAGTATGTATCCCATAAGGAAAGTCAGCTGCTGGCTGGAAAGAAGTTTCAGGCCTGCTGGAGGACTTCACGGTCAGCAAAGGGAAGTGCAAGAGACCTGGAAAGGCACAGAGGTAAAACAGGAGAAAGGTAAAGAGACAATTGATTTGGAGCAGAGGCATGGTGAGGAAGTGGAAGCCTTGATGGCAGCAGGACCGGCTGCAAGTGATGGTAAAATATTCACTTGTGTCTCAAAGAAAGATTGGAAGAAGAAATTAATACTGACTGTTAATGCACCACCTAGAGATTGGAGAGTTGTAGCTGAGGTCTTCAAGGAGCTGAATCTGAACAATACCATTATTTTAACACCCTTTGAATACTGTAAGGCTCTGCTGGAATTGGAAGGGAAGGAGGTTGGGTTAGATGCTGTGTGCTTAAAGTTGAACTGAGGTACAGTGGCTGTGTCCAGGTGGTCTCCTAAGTCCAATTCCAAAAACTTATAGTGTGAAAGACAGAGTTCTGGTGCATTTGCTAGTAGGATTTTTTACAACATTCCGGGAAGAGATAAAGAGGCTTAACTCTCCCAAAAAGAAAAGATAAGAAAATTACAATAAAGCCCAAAACATCTTTTCCCTTCCCACCCCTTGCTTTGCCAATGCATCTGCAAAAGCATTTGCAGTCTTCTTCACCCGCTGAAACTGAACCTCCAGCCCCCTAGTTAGCCATTTAGCGTCTCTTCTCTCATTTGTATATTTCCATAGTCCACTGTCCTTCTGTAACCAGCTCTTTTATCCTTCTTAAACCTTCCATTAAGGCACGTTGAGATGTTTTTTGTGAGAGATTTGCGGTTGGAAGCTGTTTATCTGAGCCTGAAGATATCCCCAGAATGGTGAAAATATGTGGTCACATGGAGTGTTTCTCTGTTTGGTTGGTGACTGCCATTGAAGCTTCTTTGTGGTGTGAAGGAAGGTGGAAGATGAGAAGGTTGAAGAAGATGGGTTACCTGCAACTCAGGGAGTGGCTAATTCAAACTGGTTTGAGAATTTCACAAATATGGGAAGTCCAGGACAAGAGATAGTAAAAGCAAAGAGAACAGAAGTCGAGCTAGAAAAGGAATCACCAATTGAAGGAAAGATGTGTGGCAGATCTTATGTACAGGTGCTGACAGGAGGTAGCCTTGGGCAGATAATTGATAGACAGGTTACATTAGATAGGCGAGCTAAAAGTCTTACAAAGGGATGTGGACTGACTCCAAGCTCCTTTGTTCCACCAAGTCAGCAAGAACAAACAAGGGAGAATGACAGTTCAGCCCAGGGTCAGAATTTTTAGGCCCAACTGTCGGCCCAGGTCAGAATTTTTAGGCCCAAAGTACAGTTGGGGTGGGTGCCAGCTTGGAATTGATGCCAATTCACGGGCGGGCGTTGGTGTGGAGAGTGGGGGTTTTTGACATTTTGAATGTTTATAGCTCTGCAGTGGAAACCAGAAATCTGCATTCGGCCTGTCTGTACTCCAAAAAAACAATGGGTAGTGACATCCGGGTCATGGGTCATGTAGGCACCAGCAAAGAAGGTGCTCTTTTAAGTGCCTGGTTCAATTATGGTAGGACAAATAATGTTGATGAGGAAGGCCTTTTGTCTAATACTGGGCCAGGCTTTAGCGAAGAAAGGTTGAACCTAGTTGGGCTTTCAAACAATTTGAGACTGATTAAATGTGGGCTGGAAAATGAAGTGGGCCCACTGACCCAAAAGATCCTGGATCAAATACAAATAGGATTATTAGAGAGGAAATCAATGGGCCGAGCCCATTTTTAAGTTTAAAAGATAGGCTATGTGACTTTAAAAGTGGTCACGTGGGAAGCCTTAAGCGGTCGATGATAGATGGTTTGCGGGGTCTATCATCATCCCCAACTCGACCTTTGGCTCAGTCCAGGGACCAAGGGCAGGAATGCTCCATTTAGTAGATGCCTAAAGTAGCGAACAGGGGGCTCTCATTGGATCTTTGCAACCCAAGATGCAAGAAAAAGTACACTTCTAGGCATGCTGAAGATGAGGAAGGTGATTTTTCGACCAGTGAGGAGTACGAATCGGATGACACTGAAACTTCAAGTTTGGGCAGTGATTGTCTTGGAAGATCAGTAGAACTTCAAGAGAACGAACGCTTTGAAACGGAGAAACTTTTTTTGGAAGACGAGGAGGATTTCGGCCCTAAGAAAACTGTTCTTGCGATCTCTGAAGCCCCAACAGAGGTTGTAAGGGATGAAGATCACCTGGCTGGTAGTTTGCCTCGATCACTGCCTCTTGGGATCAATTTCTTTCTTGGATGCACAACAAGTTCTGGGCATCCAACAGTTTGTATACAGTCTTCCTTCTACGCAAGGCAAAGGAACTGCAACTTTGGATTCTTCTCTCTACCCGAATGTTTAAGTTCCGCCCCAAGCATCCCTTCCAACTCCACGTCCGATGAAAAGTGGTTCGTTTAGGTCATTTGCTGATCCAGGTGCTCAGTAACCAAGCTTCCTTGTTGTGTCCATATTTCCAGGTACGTTTGTCAATAACATCAAGGCTACTGATGTCTTTTTGTGCCTATAACAGAGACACTCTAGTCCCAACCACTAGCTGTAGGTGTGCAAGAGGAGAGTAATAGGGATGAGGAAGTCAGAATAGAAGAAGGGGGTGGGGAGGAAACTTGTGGGTACTAGGGAGAAAAAAATTGCGAACTAGTGTGTGAATTCTTTGAGGACCTACTTATAAAATTGAAGAAACAGGAGAAGCTTTAGAAAAGCCATTTGATAAACCGAAAAATGGTCTGGCGAAAAGGGATTTAACTAGGAGGGGAACAGGGAACCTTTGGTAGAATTAGTAGGGGAGTTGGGTCTTGGGGTGAAAGAGTTAAAGGATGTTAAATTCTATTCCAAAAAGAAGGGAGAGAAGGAGACTCAAAAGAAGAAAAAGTTGACTAAGGTAGAAAGGTTGAAATCCAATGTAGCAGAGGATCTAGACTTCAGTGCTAGAGGGGAAGAAGGAAAGGTCAAAATTAGAGGGAAAGAGGGTAAGGGGTGGTTCGATACAAGTTGACATGAAGATAATCAGCTGGAATGAATGTTAGGGAGTTGGGCAATGCTAGGAAGAGGTGAGTAGTGAAGTATCTGCTTAGAAAGGAGAATCCCAATATAGTGTTGCTACAGGAAACAAAAGTTGTGGATATGGATAGAAGATGGGTGAGAAGTGTGTGGGTCTCTAGAGATATAGGATGGTCCTTTATATCGTCATGGGGCACTTCTGGGGGCCTGGTAACAGTATGGAGGATTGAGATGGTGGAGCCCTTGGAAGAACTAATAGGTCGTTTCTCCCCTTCCCTAAAATTCAAGAAAGAGGTGAAATGTGGGAAGAACTTTTTGATATTAGGGGTCTGTGGAATGAGCCTTGGTGTTTAGGGGGAGACTTTGATGTGGTCAGATTCACTAATGAGATGAATAATCCCAATCAGTTAGTCTCCACTAGTATGAGGAAGTTTAATGATTTCATAGTGGAGCGTGAACTAAAGGAATTTCCCACCCAACATAGTTTATCCACCTGGTCCAATTTACAAATCCCCCCTAGTTGCTCAAAGCTGGACAGATTTATTTTCACTCTGGATTGGGAAGAACATTGGAATGGATTGGTGTCAAGAGCTTTACCGTGAGTTACTTCTGACCATTGTCCGATTAGCATTGAAACCAAAGAATTTTTGAGTGACACAAAACCTTTCAGGTTTAAGAATATGTGGCTTACACACCCTAACTTTATCCATAAGGTAGAGGAATGGTGGGGAGCTGAAGTGCAAGGAGTGTGGTGGAAAGGTGCAAAATTTCATAGAAAGCTACAAAGGCTTAAATGTGAACTCTAAGAGTGGAGCAGAGACCATTTTGGAAGAATAGAGGAGAGGAAATTTTTGGTAACTTCTCAAATTGAGCACTTGGATGCTAAGTAGAGTCAAGGTTCATTAAATGAGGAAGATAACACTCTGAGATGGTCATTAAAAAAAGAATTGGAAGAAATTTTGTCGAGGGAAGAAATCAGTTGTAGGCAGAAATCGAGGCACCTTTGGATTAAAGAGGGAGATGGGAATACTAAATTTTATCATACACTTGCTAACAAAAGAAGAAGAAAAAATTTTGTGGAGAGTTAGAAGCAAATGGAGAAACTTTGGTTGATCAAGAAGAGATTGCTATTTTGTGGCTCATTTCAAATCAACGTTTAAAAGGCAAGGATGTGGGTGCCACTTTGGAAGGACTGGATTGGCCAAGATTGAGCTCGGATTTGGCAAGTCTGTTGGAAAGGGATTTTGACTTGAAGGAGATAAGGGGGCTGTATTTTCAACGGATAGATCTAAAGCTTCGGGACTGGATGGTTTCACTATGGCTTTTCATCAAAATTGTTGAGAGATAATTAAAGCAGACCTTTGGGCAGTCTTTGAGGAGAGACTTTATTAGTTTGAGAATAAATTATACTTTCCTAGCCTTGATCCCAAAGAAGGGAAGTGCCAATCAACCAAGAGATTTCAGACCAATTAGCCTAGTAACAAGCATCTACAAAATCTTGGTTAAAGTGTTGTCTTTAAGATTAAAGCAAGCCCCTCTTGGTTTGATAAGCCACTCCTAAAGCGTTCATTCAAGGTAGACAGATCACGGACCAAGTTTTGATAGCTAATGAATGCGTAGAATGTTTTAAAAAGGGAAAAGAAAGGTTTTGTGTGTAAATTGGACTTGGAGAAAGCTTATGATAAGGTTGATTGGTCCTTCCTCTTGGACATTTTGAAAAAATTTGGGTTTGGGGAGAGATGGTGTGGATGGATTGAAGGATGTTGAAGACTTGTCATTATTCAGTACTAGTTAACGGAGTGGTCAGAGACTTTCCCAGCAACCAGAGGTTTGAGGCAAGGGGATCCCTTTCTCCTTTCCTATTTACCTTGGTAACTGAGGTGTTTAGTAGTCTTATTGTAAGAACTGAACTGGTGGCTTGGGACTATTTAAAGGTTGGAGGCTTGGGAGAGGGAGCACAGTTGTTACACATTTGCAGTTTCCTAATGATACAAGTATCTTTTGTGAGGGTGCTGATCCTCAAAAGGCAAGTAATTTGAAGTAGGTGATCGAACTGTTTGAATTTGTATCTAAGTTGAAGATCAACTTTGAAAAGAGTTCCATAGTGGGACTGAACTTGGGAGAGGAGGAGATGGCTGGAGTTGCAAAAGCTTTAGGTTGTCCTACCGCTAGGTGGCCTTTGAAATATCTAGGTATGCTCTTAGGAGCCAACCCAAGGGAAGGAAGCTTTTGGAGTCCAATTCCTGAAAGATGTGCCTAGAAATTGTCAACTTGGAATGGGAATTATGTGTCTTTATGGGGTCGTATCACTCTGATTGAATCTACTTTAGCTAATCTTCCAGTTTTCTTCCTCTCAATATTCAAAATGCTACAAAGGGAGGTATTGAAAGTAGAGAAGATCAGGAGGGACTTCTTGTGGGAGCTTGGTGAAGGAAGGAAAGATCACTTGGTGAGATGGGATCTAGTTTGTAGAAGTAATGAGCAAGGGGGTTTAGGGTCAGGCAATATAGGAAAGAAGAATGAAGCTTTATTGGGTAAATGGCTTTGGAGATGGCCATTAGAGAGAGAGAGAGAGAGAGAGGCTTTGTCATAATCTGTGGGAAGTATTCACGGTTATGCAGAAAATGGTTGGGATGCTGGAGTGTCTCGGTGGGTTACTCTAATCTCTCCGTGGAAGGCTATTCATGGTATCCTTCCTCAATTCCTCAGCTTTAGCAGGTATGATGTGTGTACTGGTGATGGGATTCTCTTTTGGGAAGACACGTGGATTGTTAATTCCACCCTTAAGGACCTTTATCTATCTTTGTATTCCCTCTCCCTTTTTAAATGTAAACCCATTCAAAAATTTGTTTCTTTCTCCCAGTCCTCTGGATTCAGTTGGAATTTGGGTTTTAGAAGAGATCTAAGAGATTCTAAACTTGATCAAGCTGCTTTGTTAATCAAAACCCTAGACATTGTTTGTTTGGACTTTTCTAAACCTGATGCTAGAATCTGGATTCCCAACTCTCTGGGTCTTTTTTCTTGTGCCTCTTTATTCTCTCAGTTGTGCTCAGTCCCTAACCCTCAACCTTTCTTTTGGAAGGAAGACTTGTCTAAACCCACTCCCCCTAAAGTTGTTGCCCTTTGTTGGGAAGCCTCTCTTGGGAAATTAAACACTTTGGATACCCTGTAAAAGAAAAGACCTAACCTCTGCATCTCCCCAAGCTGGCGTTTCCTTTGCAAAGCAAATGGAGAGAGCTGTTACCATCTTCTAATTTCTTGCCCTTTTGTTGTGAATCTTTGGGAAAAAAGTTTTGGTCTTTTTGGGGGGTAGGTGGGTGATGCCTCTGCAAATTAGGGGCTTTTCGACCCTAAAACTTTTAGGTGGCCTATGAGAAGAGGTAGAATTTTATGGAGATGTGTTAGGGCTGCTTTAGTGTGGACAGTTTGGGAGGAAAGAAATGACAGAATTTTTAAGAATAAAGAAAGGGATGTAGATACTGTTTGGGAATGTCTGCTAATAAGGGCTATTAGTTGGGCCAAAACTTTGGATTTATTCTCACTTTTCTCCTTTGATGACATACGAAGAAACTGGGAATCTGATTCTTCCTCGGTTAGGGACAAACCTGTTGTAGACTGGAAGCCCCCAGAAGAAGGCTTCATAAAGCTCAACTTTGATGGCAGCTGCTTTGGCAATCCTGGACCTTCTGGTATTGGGGGTGTATTTAGGAATGAAGAGGGACAGATTGTTGCCTTATTCTTGGGCCCAATTGGAGTGGGGGATGCAGTTAGTGCAGAGGTGCAAGCTGCTTTACAGGGAGCACAAATTGCTAAAGAGATGAGCTTTAGGAGGTTGATCATTGAAGGTGACTCTAAAGTGGTAACTGGGTGGCTGAAAGAACCAGAGACAGTATCCTGGTCTTTTAGGGGAGAAATTAAAAGATTCAAGTGGCTTACCTCTAATCTCACAGTTAGGCTATGTTTGGTTTGAAGGAAAAGGTAGGGAAAGGAAGGGAAAGACGAGAAAACCAATACAGGGTTGTAAAGGTTTCCCTACCTTTCCCTTCCTTTCCCTACATTTTCCTTCAAACCAAACATAGCCTTAGAGTTCAGTGGGAGAGGAGGTTGGAAAATGAGCTGGCTGACCTACTAGCTAAGCAAGGGGCGAACAGGGATCAATTATTCTGCGCTCAATTGTAGTTTTACTTTGTTTTTAAGGCAGCAACTCACGCCTCCTGGGAGAACTCAGTTTTGTATGTATTTGTCAGTTTACTTTTATTATTATTAATAAAATACTTTATTATTCATAAAAAAATATGAATCTTGATATTGCACACATGGAGATCTCTGTTACCTGCTTTTCTGGGTCACCTTTTATCTAATTAGCTTCTTCGTTTTACATAGGATGTAGAGGGGATGATGTCCATTTCTGTTGAGGCAGCTGAGGCACGGGCTTCCTTGAGTGATGATAAAGAACTCATTAGCACTTATGAGGTATGCCTATGACGTTTTTTGGTTGCTTCCAGACTAATCTTATGATGGCATGGGTTTCCCAAACCAAAAGGTGGAAAACCATAAATTAGGTTACTGCAGGTGCAAATGCACACACTCTTGTGTATGTGGTAGTCGGACGGATACTTGCAATAGGGGTTATCTTTGCCTACTTTTTAAGATTTTAACCCTACTCATGAATCATGGCCTGCCTTTCCCAGATTTATTGTATAACTTTGAGCATTTTTTGTTGGAATAGTTTGTGTTTTCCTAGGTCTGGAGTGCATATCTATGCTAATAGATATTTAACTCTGTATTTACCTTTGTTGTTCTTTTTTTTCCTGCCTATGTTGAGTTAGAGATTAACAGCTCTAGATGGAAAAAGGAGGTTTGCATTAGCAGCAGCAGCGTCTCACAAGGAAGAGGTTGGTAGGCTAAGGTTAGCATCTCTCATGTGCCTTTTGTATATTGGGCCCTTGGCATTTCTTAGTTCTTTTTCTCATTTTTTTTTTTTATTTTTATGTTTGACAATAGTGATGCTTTTGGAGCAGAGCTACCAAGGAAATTGAAAATTATGGTGCTTTTTGTGCATTGAGTGTGAAGGTTGAGAGTTGAAGGAAATTGAGAGAAGACTTAACTGGAATTGATTGTCTTTTTTTTGCAGCAAAATAAGGTCCTTTTTTGATGTTGGATGATGACTTTTGATGAATTTCTTCTAGGTCTTTTATGGCTGTTGGTGTCTGAATTGAGAAAACTTGCAAGAGAAGACAAGAGAGAGTGAAACAGGAATCACTTTAGGGTAGGGGCAATCATTTCTAGCCCAGCCTGCAAGCTTGTCTCCTGTCCTGGAATATACTTGTATATATATATATTCATATGTGTGTGTTATTTCATATTATTGATATATTATATATAAATATTATAAAATGATACATGTAATATATTATATGCCATACAATATAAATTAATTGATATATACATATATATGTATATATATTAAATATAATGCATTTAATGACTTAGGCACAAAGCCTGTCTTGGGCCTGGCCCAGGTTCACCCCTACTTTAGGGCTGTGGAATCACTCAGAAGAAGTCACACAAGCAGAAAATGATCTCCAGATTCATTAGCCATATATTTGGAACTTTACAAACATACACATTAAACCATTTAGGGTCAGCCAAACTCCGTGAACGAAAAGAAGAGAACTCAAAATTACAAACTGCCACTCACTTTCCAACTCAAAGAAAATTATCTCCTTAACTACTTAAGAAATGACTCTGAAATTTTGGTAACCCAGGCCCTTCAGGAATCGGAGGGGTATTAAGGGATGAAAATGGAGTAATCTTGGGTTTGTTCTCCAGACCACATGGAGCAGGGGATTCAACAACAGCTGAGTTGAAGGCAGTGTGATATTTGGGATTGGAAAAGCTAGAGTTGGGGGTAAGGAGACTGATAGTTGAAGGAGACTCTAAAGTTGCCCTAAGCTGGCTGAAATGAATGGAGCAGACTAGACCCCAAGATCAGCCAATGGTTTAGCAGATCAGTTAGCAAAGCAAGGGGTAAACAGGGAACAGTGCTTTTGGGATAATTTGTAATGTGAAGGTTAAAGATTTCTAATAACTGATGTCCTTTGATTTAGTTTGTGTGGGCCTGTGGGGTAGCCAAGGCTACGTAAAAGCTAATCCTCTCTGTTTTATGAATAAATTTTCTTTTACTCACAAAAAAAATTGGGCACAATTAACCTATGACTAGATAGTTCAAACTAATAATTTGGGCGCCACATACGATAGTCAAAATGATCCAAGTATCCCTATTGAGAGGATCACCAATGAATTTTCATTGGGGATAATGAATTTTCATTCTGCCTTCATGAATTTTGTCTCCTAATGCTGGAAATGGAGCAAGTATCAGGTTTTGGGAGGATTATTGGTTAGAGATTGGAAAGTTATGTGATATATGTCCAAGACTGTATAGGTTAAGTATGAGAAAGATCCCAGTTTTGCAATGCTATGAAGTAATTCAAGGTTCGGTTGTGTGGTTTCCAAAATTCAGAGGCTTCTCTCCTTGACTGTGAGATTGAAGAATGTGTTAATTTGTTAGCTAAGGTGCAGGCAGCAGAGTTGCTGGAAAGGGCTGATTTAAGGTGGTAGGAGAGTAACAAAGGCATGCTTACTGTAAAGTCATTCTACAAGGCATTAGCAAGGAATCAGATTGAAAGTGATGATGTTAAAGGTAGTTGGGGCAATCCTATTCCTCCTAGGATGGAAGTATTTGCTGTTAGTGGCTATGGACAGCATTCTTACCCAAGATCATAACAAAGAGTAGAGGTAGTCAATTGACAGGGAGGGATGGGGTGTTTGAAGGTGAAAATGAAATTAGTGTCTTGGAATGTAAGGGAATTGAGAGAAGAATGGAGAAGAGTTCTAGTGATGCTTTGCTGAGATACATAAACCAGATTTAGTTTGCTTCAAGACTTGACAGTGGAAATTATGACTTTAGCATGAAGATTGAGTCTGGGATTTTAGTAATGGGAGGGGGTGGAGGTGAACACGGAGGGCCTATAGGGTGGTTGGTGGTTATGATGATAAAGCTTGGAATAAGAAAGGTTTGGTGCAGCCATTGATAAACCTGTGTTAGTTTGGGTGCAATAGTGCTAGAATTCAAACCTTCCCAAAGCTCCTTACAGCCTTCAACCACATACAAGAGTTTCTTCTCCCCCCTCTTTGTTTGTTAGTTCTGTTTCGGCTCCTTTATCTTTCTCTCAAAGCAACCACTTTTCCTCTTGTTTTCCAGGTTCGAATGGTGAGCAATCCCAACCACAACAGAATGATAGTCTTCGCCCAGATTCTGTGGCAAGGAAGGCAAATGAACAAGTTCAGAACAGTAACAAAAGGGAAGCTTGTTTGGAAGGTGGTGGTACAGAGGAGATGGCTAAACTTCTCAGTCTCAAAAGAAGAGAGAAAGAAGCAGAAAATGAGAACACATTGAAGGAAGAAAGTAAGATGAGAAGGAAAGATCAGGAAGTGAAAGAAGGGGGTCTAAGAGGGAATTGAGATGTCTACAGTGGGGGTTGACAGATAAAAGATTAGCAGGTAATAATAGGGTGGCTAAGGGAAAGACAACAAGAGAGGCCTAATGAAGATTCTAAGTTGGAACGTCAAGGGATTGGGAAGGCGGCTGAATAGGTGTCTAGTGAAAGACTTTAAGAAGACAAAACCTGGATATCATTATTTTACAAGAATCTAAAAAAGAGGTAGTAGATAGAAAACTGATTAAAACAATTTGGGGAATCAGAGGAAAAAATGGGTGGCAGTACCTGCAACAGGTTTGTCAGGAGGAATTATTCTTGCTCGGAATGAAGAAGTCTCAGGTATAGAAGTAGACAAAGGGGTTTTTCTATCTCTATCTTGTTCATTAATAAGAAAGGTGGCTTTAATTGGATAATGACTGGAGTATATGGGCCAAATTCCTCTTCAGAAAGAGGAAGATTTTGGGAAGAATTGGATTCAGTACATGAATCCAATGATATTCCATGGTGCATAGGTGGTGACTTCAATGTCATAAGGTTCAGCAATGAACACTCCAATGGCAGAACTTCAACAAGAAGTATGAGGAAGTTTTCAAGCGTTGTAAATAAACACAACTTGTATGATCTCCCCCTTAATAACGGGAGATTCACTTGGTCAAACTGCAAGAAAATGCGATAAGTTGCAGACTTGACAGATTTCTAGTCTCTTCAGAATCGTAGAGAAATTCCCTAAACCTGATTCAAGAACTTTGCCCTCACTGCACCTCAGATCATTGGCCAATTGCCTTAAGAACAGATCTGAGTTTTAATTGCAAGGCCCCCTTTAGATTGGAAAAGATGTGGACCACTCATAAGGACACCTTCTTGGTGGGAGGAATGTAAAGTGGAAGGCTGGACAGGTTTCAGACTGCTACAGAAATTGAAGTTCTTAAAAAGCAAGTTAAAAGCTTGGGAGAAGAGAGGAGTTTAAGGCCTTTGAAGAAGAGAAGGGTAAAATTCTTGCGGAACTAGAAGAGCTGGACCTCAGAGATCAAAACAGCAACCTAGATAAAACAGATAGAAGGAGAAGACCTGACCTGAGAACTCTTTGGGAAAAGCTTATTATTAGGGAAGAAATTTACTGGAGACAAAGATCACGGGCGAAGTGGCTAAAAGAAGGAGAAAATAACTCCAGATTCTTTCACTCTTATACTTAAGGAAGGCGCAGGGACTTCAACTCCTTGGCCATTGCGGACAAAGGATTGAACTCCAACTTCATTTGTCTCATTCCAAAGAAAGGGGGACTCTTGGAGGTAAGGGATTTCAGACTGATTAGCCCAGTAGGGAGTTTTTACAAGATTTTAGCCAAAGTTCTAACAAGAAGACTAAAAGAAGTTCTAGGAGACCTAATCTCCTCAAATCAGTTTGCTTTTTTGAAAGGAAGGCAAATATTGGATAGCATTCTTATAGCAAATGGTTGTGTAGAAGACAGAAAACTAAATGAAAACCCAGGGGTCATAGTTAAACTAGACCTTGAAAAAGCCTATGACAAGGTGGATTGGGAGTGTATTCACCAAATTTTAAAGGTTATAGGCTTCGGTGGGAAGTGGGCTAAGTGGATTAAAGGCTGCATCGAATCAACTTGGTTCTCAATGTTGATAAATGGAGAACCAAAAGGCTACTTCAAGGCAAGTCAAGGTTTGAGACAAGGTTGACCCTGATCCCCCATTCTTTTCACATTGGTGATGGATATCTTCAGCCAGCTTTTCAACAAAGCTAAATGTCTTAACTTGGTAAAAGGTTTTGAAGTGGGAAGAAATGCTCTCCATGTCTCACATCTACAGTTCTCATATGACATTATCTTATTTTTGGAAGCATCTCTAGACAACATAACCAATGCTAAGAGGGTGATTAATTGTTTTGAGTGGGTAACTGATTTGAGGGTCAACTTCTCCAAAAGTAGTGTTGTGGCAGTAAATTCTGTAGAAGCAGGTCTGCTGGAATCTTTCAAAGTCATTCTGGGATGCAAAGTGGAATCCTTGCCAATCCTCTACTTGGGGATGCCTCTAGGAGGGAACACGAAAAATTTCAGCTTTTGGGGGCTGGTGATGGAGAAATGTGAGACGAAACTAGCAACTTGGAAGAGCTGCTATTTATCAAAAGGGGGCAGACTCGCTCTCTTAAAGTCCTCTCTTGCAAATCTGCCAATCTATTATTTGTTGGTCTTCCAAATCCCAAGGAAAGTCAGATCTAAGATTGAGAAACTTAAAGAAACTTCCTTTGGGAAGGCGGTGGGAAAAAAAGAAGTCACTTAGTAAGTTGGGATCAAGTATGCAAACCTAAGGATGAAGGTGGATTGGGTATTGGCCATCTCAAGGAGAAGAATACTTCCCTTTTGGGGAAGTGGCTTTGGAGATTTCCCAAAGAATCA